CTGCAGTAATTGACTGCTGTTGACAGATTCATGTTTTCAGCCTGAAAGACTGGTTGTTCTTATAGCAGAAGGTGAAAGACTAAGAGATGAGAAACCTAAAATGACTTTTGCCATCAGAATACAGCAAGATATCTCCTGAAGCCAGATAATCTACTACAGACATACACAAAAAAAGACAGAACTACATTAACACCACTGCACTCTCAAGAGCTCAGAGAGATGAGATCTGAAGGGCTCAGTAAAAAAAGTCAAATATCCAATTGTTTCTCAAACCAGTTGAATTGCCATGGGAATTAACAGCAACACAACAAGCTGAGGCATCAACTGAGATGAGTTTTCCATAATACCACACCCAATCTACTCGGCAAAATTTTCCCCCTATCAGGGGGTCAGATGTAGAGAAGCCAGAGATTCACTACTGTTATAAAACAGTTGAATTTTCATTGGAACTGATTTAAGACCAGGAAGACACACAAGAGGAGATGAAGAGGGAAGTGCACCATTTGTCGAAATCTGTAGCAGAAAGTCAAGGAGAGTGTAATGTTGCTGGACCTTAAAGCATTTATCACAAGGTGTAAGAAGAAATAGCGTATTCAGAAAAAATGAGCTATACCTATGTACTCCAGAGTACACCAAAAGTGGTTGTGCAGCAGAAGGGATGACACCATCTGCTCCTTTATAGTGCAAACAGCAAAAAGTAACAGGCTTGAACTGCAACAAAGGAGATCCAACGACAGAAAAATCTGTAACAGGAGGGAAAATGAATAGCAAAAATAGAGGAGCAAATATCTGAGGAGCTTGTGGGCTCATCTTCACTGAAGGTCCCTGAAAACAGTCCAGCCAAACATCAGCCATGAATGACAAAGTCATTGCTATTATAGCTATTTGGGCTGGGGGATGAATTATGGGATCACCTGAGGTGCTTCCCAGCTCTGTATTTCTCTAATTGAAAAACACATCCTAAGGACATACAGAGACTCCACATTTAAAACCTCAGAAACTAAACCCAAATATCAGGAATGACAATACAAGCAGCTTTTCAAATGATGCTTGCAAGCAGTCAGAAATCTTCTAGTGATCACCACTGCTACAGAAAATATTTATGATGTGCCTTCCGCTGGAACATATGCCACAAAGAAATGAACAATAAACCTTTACAGGAAAAGAGTGAGAAGTGAATAAAATCTCACCTCTCCTCCTCTAGACTGAAAGGACATTGTCATTGTTCATGCTGCTTGTCAGATACAATAATTGATACCCCCTAGTACAAATTACCGAGAAAGTAAAGCACTACCAGGATCCTTTGTGAAGGGAATTGGTAGAGCAAGGAAGTGTGATGGGAAAGAGCATTCAGCTGGGGAAGCTACAGAACAGGGAGGGAATAGTTCAAATATGTTTGCAGAGCAGCAGTTCGTTTATGTCCTCAGATGCAAAGAAGTGTGTTAACATTAAAAAAAAATGTTTTTAACTCCAAGTTGTTAAAAACATATACATAAATAAATAAAATGCAAAAGCTTCATCATGAAAATAACTCAGGCAAATAAGACACCATTACTTATGCATTCAGCTTATTAATTAGCTAAATAATGCAAGTAACAAGAATGTGGACACCACGCAAATATAATTTGGCCAGTCCTGGTCACCATTTTGGCCAATACAGCTACAAATGAACTGGAGAGCTGCAGAACTTAAAGAGTATGGCAGCTCAAGACAAGCAACCACATTTCTTCAAGGGGTGTTGTAACAGACATGGCTTGTCTGAAAATTAGCATACAAGGGTACCTGTAGAAGATGTTGAGTTACACAACTATGTTGCAAAGACAATCCCTGCTCCACAGCTCCAAGAGACGGGGGGAAGGATTGGAGGGGAAGGACTGACTCAGGGACACTCAGGACATAAGTGTCAGAGCTAAGAAGCCATACAGGGTAAATAGCACAAACAGCTAGTCACCGTCTGTAAAATGAAAAGTGCCAACATACTGCATTCCTTCCCTTTCACCGGATCAGGTAGTCCAGAGCACTCCACGGACGGATTCGGGACAGCCACCCTCCATCTGGAGCCACTGCTGTCGCACTCTGTGTACTCGAAGTGGTAATCTGTCTGCAAGCAATGACAAAGAGTTTCAGTTTCATTATAACATTTGCGTATTAATCTCATTAATCAAGACTGGAATTAGCAAACTCATTTATAATTAAACCAGAAAGGAAGTAGCTGGCGTGGAACATAATGTGCAGCACTCTTACTGCTTTGATGATCACTGTGTATCATCACAGAGCAAGCTCAAAGCACATCAGATGCCGCGCAGCACAAATGCTACAGCAGAGGGTAAGATTTGCAAAAGCACGTGAGAGACAGGGCACAGACTCCATTAGCATTTTTTTCCCAGTCTTTTAGAGCAGGATTGATCCCAAGCCTGTGGCCACCACAGTATCTGGTCTACAGTAGTCAACTGGTCTTTCTCTTTGGTGAATGGAGCAAGCCGTACTAGAGCACAAGTCATCTCATGTTAGGTTGGATGACTAAGATGGATGGATGAATCACTTTCTGCAAGTGCCTTTCCCTCTTCATCAACTTCATAAAAATCCCAGAAAAATTAGAGGAGATAAACGCGGTATTGGGATATCTCTGAAAATGCCATCCTGAGTCAGCTCTGACAAGTACCTCAAGGCAGAATGATGGTGTGAGAAGAGATCATCCCCATGGTCTCTGTGATTGAGATGATAAGCCCTGAGCAGTCTAAGTGAAAAGCAGTAAGAAACTCTCTAGCATTAGCTAGGAAAGAATATTAGCCATTTATCTTATTAAGAATCATAAAATCATAGAATCATAGAATGGTTAGGGCTGGAAGGGACCTTAAAGATAATCTAGTTCCAACCCCCCTGCCATGGGCAGAGAAATCCTCCACTACACCAGGTTGCCCAAAGCCTCATCCAACCTGGCCTTGAACACCTCCAGCGATGGGGCAGCCACAACTTCTCTGGGCAACCTGTTCCAGTGCCTCACCACCCTCAATGTAAAAAATTTCTTCCTTATATCTAATCTAAATCTGCCCTCTTTCAGTTTGAATCCATTGCCCCTTGTCCTATCACTACACACCCTTGTAAAACGTCCCTCTCCAGCTTTCCTGTAGCCCCCTTTAGGTACTGGAAAGCTGCTATAAGATCACCCCGGAGCCTTCTCTTCTGCAGGCTGAACAGCCCCAACTCTCTCAGCCTGTCTTCATAGCAGAGGTGATCCAGCCCTCGGATCATCTTCGTGGCCCTCCTCTGGACCTGCTCCAGTAGCTCCATGTCCTTCTTATGTTGGGGACTCCAGAGCTGAATGCAGTATTCTAGGTGGGGTCTCACGAGAGCTGAGTAGAGGGGCAGAATCACCTCCCTCGAGCTCCTGGCCACGCTTCTTTTGATGCAGCCCAGGATACGGTTGGCTTTCTGGGCTGCCAGCGCACATTGCCGGCTCATGTTGAGCTTCTCATCCACCAGCACTCCCAAGTCCTTTTCCTCAGGGCTCCTCTCAATCCATTCTCCACCCAGCCTGTACTTGTGCTTGGGATTGCCCCAACCAACGTGCAGGACCTTCCACTTGGCCTTGTTGAACTTCATGAGGTTCTCACAGACCCCCCTCTCCAGCCTGTCGAGGTCCCTCTGGATGGCATCCCTTCCCTCCAGCGTGTCCACAACACCACACAACTTGGTGTCATCTGCAAACTTGCTGAGGGTGCACTCGATCCCACTGTCCATGTCTCCAACAAAGATGTTAAATAGCACTGCCCCCAGTACTGACTCCTGAGGAACACAACTCGTCACAGGACTCCACGTGGACATTGAACTGTTGACCACAACTCTTTGAGTGCAACCATCTATCCAGTTCCTTATCCACCGAGTGGTCCATCCATCAAAACCATGTCTTTCCAGTTTAGAGACAAGGATGTCATGTGGGACAGTATCAAATGCTTTGGATAAGTCCAGGTAGATGACGTCAGTTGCTCTTCCCCTATCCATCAATGCTGTAACCTCATCATAGAAGGTCACCAAATTAGTCAGGCAGGATTTGCCCTTAGTGAAGCCATGTTGATTCAAATCCCACTAAAAATGTAAACTCACATCCAGTTACATTTTTAGTTTTGTTTCCAAATTCATTACCCAGAATTTTACTATTAAAATAAACTTTAGCAACATCTAATTCTTGAACCAGTTTGGTATCAAGAGAGAGAGTCCGGGTGAAGCTGGCAGAATTGGTGCATACCCTTCTTCAGATGGAACAGACCTATATTAAAACAACACATACTGGCAAGCTCCATGAGATGACTCCACATGGGTAAGGCCACGTCCAGCTCCTTTTGCAGTCAACGGAGAGAAGACAGTGGCCACATGCCTATTTTAGATATCTGCAGGGGGAACGAGGAGATAACATATGTCCTAGAAACAATTCTTTCTCTCCACTGGCTACAGAGGGAGACCAGCTACTTGGTTTAGAAGGACACTTCTCCATTTCCTCAGGGGAACTCCACCTCCAACACTGCACGGCCCTGCATGGCCCATAAAAATAAGACTGAAAATCATGGGACTGAGGAAAATAGGATCACAGCTTCAGTCACAGGCTTGAGGTTTACCCAGCTTTAGGGAAGACTGGTGTGGTGGATCCATAAAATTTAGTTGGTTCTGTTCAATTTAGCTGGCTTCTCCTGCAGGACTGGCAAAGAACCAAAGAGGGAGAAGGCAGTGGTCATGTTCACAACCCAAGAGCTCCTTAGCTGGTCTAGCTCAGACCCACTACAGAAAAACCCACCCATAAGGCAGCATAATTCTGTCTTCCTGAAGTTCTGTGCCACCGTGACATCAATCCCTAAACTACACTACACTAGGAGGAGGTACTTTGTGCATAACAAGGGTTATTTTGGGGGCATTCTTTTCCTGCTCCTTTTTTGACCCCTTGCAGTGCCAACATCCCAAATGATGGAGCGGAACAGAAGGAATGAGGCTGATATAGGCCAGTCCATGATGGCTCTGTTACAGTTTAGTTAATCTCTGCAAATATTAAGCTGACTCACAATGAGAAGACTTGCAATTGTCCTCATTTCCTTATAGAAAAACAAACAATACTGAGTTTAATACTTCTCCTACTGTTACCATAGCTCTCCAGAGATATTCAGATGTTAATAAAGTCTTAACCAAACATGATTAAAGCCTTTGCTATTTTGCATCCAAGTGCAAATAATATTCTGATTTTTCTGGAATTAATATTTTTATGATTCAATAAATGTCTTTGTGGCTCAACTTGTGGTTTAGAAACCTAACTAACAGCACAGTGGAAAGGAAAAACTGTTTCAAAAATAAATCAAGGTATAAGAAGATACTATAAAATCCAGAGCCACACATGAAATACAATATACTACACTCTTAACTCTACAAAAATACTCAATTAAAATATGCATTTTCCCCCTTTCATCTCATTATATAACCTTCAAGGAACAGAAAAAAAACAGTTCTTAATCATCTTGGTATGAAATCTGCCTATAAGGCAACCAGAATATATAAATAACATATCTGTAATAGTCCATCTCATAGTTCATCTCACATAAGAAAAAAATGATCTGTTAAATTAAATATGCAAGACTGGAATGAAGCAAAGAAAAGGATATTGAAATGCTCTGAATCTGACCTATGTTCAGATCTCTTTCCTATTTCATATCAGATCAAAAAAAATAGAGAAAGCAGTTTGGTGTCAACAATCCATATTTCTCTCATAGTCACCCACTCAAAATACACTTCAGGGATGTCTCACCAGCATGCAACCCCTCTGCAGCCAGACCGGGTCTCAGAAGTGATGCAGCTGTGAGGGACACATCATGAAGTGCAGAAGCATCCCCTCTAACTGTCTGACTGTCAGCTATCACCGGAGACTCAAAACTCAGGACAGTAACTAAAATTATAAAGAAAAAAAGGTTTCTGCTCTCCTTCCAAGTTCAGACAGAAGAGTCAGGTTTCCATCTCTCCTCTTCCATCCCTCCATGGAAATCTCTCCAGCTTTAACCAGTCAGATAAGGTTTCCGAAGAGGGGGACCCAACAGATGTCCTTCCCTCTGACCACCCCATCCCTGTGTGCAGCAAGCCATATCCACAGAGGAGTCCCAAGACTCACAAGGAAGGCTGTATAGTGGAACTAAGTTCTTACACGGTCTCTTTCCATTACTTTTTCCTCTACTGTGCTCATTTCCCTTATGGAAGAGGGGGATTTTTTGTTTGTTTGTTTTCTATCTGACCCTCAACTGAGCTTTATGTGTGGAAACCACTCCACAGACTTGTTTGTTCCTCTGGTAACTGACTGTAATGAAGAATCTGCAGATGAATTTCTGCCCTTGGTCCCACACTCCAAAATCTATGCCAGCTATCATCGCTATCATCTTCTTCCCTATACTATATTTTTACCTAGAAACAGTCACTGAGGGCCCAGAGGGCCCAGATGTATCACTCTTTTAAAAGCAGAACATATCTGTGCTGCATTCCAGGCATAACAACAGCTCACAACTTCAGCCGCACCACTGGCCAGCTTTGAATTAACCAGCTTGGCTACTTCTAGTGGGTGAATACAACCACCTGGAGCTCCAGTTCAGCTAGGTGACCCAGCATCTCCAGATGATTTAACAGACATGGTGATGCTGTCCTCAGCACCTGTCGTAGCTCAGGTCCATCCCTACGAGCTGAAGTATGCCTTGACTGCAGCACCGACACCGTCGGCACACACATGATGTACGCAAGCACGGGAAATCGCCCATTAATGCTGGCTTACTGGGCTCAGCCCTTCTAATCTGCCTGAGCAATTTGGACTTCCAAATATAGAGGGCTGACAGAGGAGCCTCCTCAGCACCATGGGACGCTCATAACACCTTTGCATCTCACTGAAAAATGCCATTCCATTACGCTGGGGTTTCTTCTCCTCCCTGACGGAAGAATTTCTTCACCCACCAGTTCTCTGAAATGAATTTCATGGCAAATCCATTGCCAGATGTTATCCGTTGCCAGCTATTACTCTGGTTTTGCTTTCAATGTTCCTTCCCCACTATCATCCAGACATATAGCATCTTTAAATTTGGCCAC